GTGCTTTGCCTGTGTTCTTTATATATATATATATATATCTGCCTTGGATAGAGAACACCTTTTTTTCTTTTTTCTCCCCTGCCCCCTCCAGTTCTCTTTCCACATCACTGCCTCAGTATTACATTCAGTTCAGAAATTACAGTCCTTTAATCAGGTTTTTAGATCAGTATTAACGACCTTGGCTCTACATTGAAATCACCTGGGAAGTTTTTAAAAATCTGGACCGATTCCAGACTAATTAAGAATCCCTGAGGGGTGGGGCCCAGACCTTGGTATTTTAAAGAAGTTCCCCATGGGATTCTAAATACGCAGCCAAGTCTCAAGAACGCTTGTTTTACATCAGGTTCTCTTCTGCCCTCCTCTCAGACCTGCTCTCCCAGGTCCACATTCCCATCAACCCCAGAGTGGCTTCCATTTTGGAAAAACACAGGCCTTTCCTTCTTTTTACAACATAAGTAAAATTATTTGCGGCCTATTATTTTTACCTACATCTGTTTCACCCACAATGATGTTCCATCTTGATGATTCAGCCAATATGATTACTGAGAACTTGCTGTGGGCAGGACACAACCCTCTGCCAGAGCTGGGAATGTACAGAGAAGGAAGGAAGAGTCCTGCCCTCACTGTAGCTGCTGCAGAAGCTACAGGAACACAAGTAACCCTAACCAAACACACTGTGTGCTGGAATACCAGAGTAATGCATGATCATCACCAAGCTCTAGGGACCCCTTACCATGCTCAGGAATTATCCCACTGCATCCTCACAGTGACTCTCTCGGGTTGTTATTTTCATGATCGTTATTTTCCAGAGAGCAGTGAGGCTTAGAGAGTGAGTCACATACTCAAGGACACCCAGGGAGTAGGGGGTGGGGGTTGGATGCCAAGCCTCTCCTCGCTGCACCCTCTCCTTGCTGCACCTTAACCTCTACGCTCAAAGAGAAGAGTGATTCCCCCACCACCTCCTCCAACTTAATTTATTTTAAAATGTATTTATTTTCAAATACTGTGGTGGGAATAAATTTTAGGCATCACTGCCACAGACTCCAGAGATGTTTTCACTTCAAAGCCTTGCATAAGGAGAGAACTTGAAGCTGTGATTCAACCACCAAAGGAACATATCCACAGGCTCTTGTGTTATTCGTAAGATCAAGTATAACAGTCACATGGCCAGGTTACTTTAGACCTTGAAGCTGTGATTCAACCACCAAAGGAACATAACCACCAGGCATATGGCTCCTGTGTTATTCATAAGGTCAAGTATAACAATCGCATGGCCAGGTTACTTTAGACCAGCGGTTCTCAATCTGTGGGTCGTGACCCCTTTGGTGGTCGAATGACCCTTTCACAGGGGTCGCCTAAGACCATCCTGAATATCAGAAATTTACATTACGATTCATAACAGTAGCAACATTACGGTTATGAAGTACCAACGAAAATAATGTTACGGTTGGGTCAAAACATGAGGAACTGTATTTAAAGGGCCAGAAGGTTGAGAACCACTGCTTTAGACAGAAGACCTGTGGCATAACCAATGCTGATGATGGGGCTGCAGCATGGAAAGTGAGAATTTTAGGAATCAAGGTCCACCTGCCACACTAGACAGAAGAAGAAAGTGAGGTCTACAGAGAAAAAAAAAGGCATTTCCAACTTTTGATGGAGGAACTGGACCCTGAATTCAGCCAGCATATTCCTCCACCTTGACTCTTACCAGCAAACACCTCCCAACTTGAGGCTCAAATAGACGCCGCTAATGTGAGGAAAGCACAGTGAGCAAGTGAGGAGAGTGTTCTGACTTTGCCTTCTATTCCTAAGGCTGATGTCGATTTAAGCAAAGGCTTTTGTTTTGGTTAGAGTTGTTGGCACCCAGAGGGATTTAGTAGAATCTGGCTCAATGTTATAAACTTCACACCTGAAAATAAGTGTATGGAAACTCTCTCCTTCCATTTACTCCCACAAAATCAAAGCAGAAGCCTTTAATTTAGCATGAAGGGCTAAATATCAACCTAATTATTAATTTTGCTTATTATCCTTTTTGTAACATAACATAGCTCATTAGATGTACATCATAATGCCCAAGCCCCTTATAGCCTCAGTCCTGCGTCTCTCAAGTCCTGCAGCCTTCAGCCACCTGGGTCCAGCTGGGTCCATCCCAACCTCCCCCTCCCCACTCCCAGTTCTACACTCTGCCCTCCTGCCCCCCAGTCAGAGAGGAGATAGCTGCCTCGTCCGCAGGACCAGGCTTTCTGCAGCAGAGTGAGTGTCCCTGAAACCCCTGGATTCATTCCCCGAGAAGCCTCCTGGGCTATGCCAGACTGTGCAGCTAGATGAGGCAGGAGGGGAACAGCGAGTCCCAGCAGAGAGGCCTGAGCAGGCCAATGCAGCCTCTTTTGACAAAGCTCATTTCCAGAACAGGATTCTGTGGGGGTGGGCAGCCCATCTGCCTGGGGTGTTTTCACCCACGCAGCCCTCATGGTTAAGGTGGCCGCCAAGTATAACTACCCCCCGCCCGCTCATCTTAAGCAGTCTTCAGGGACTGCTAGCTCCCAGCAGATTTTCCTGTTACCGTAGATACCTGGCTGTTGGCACAGAAGTGGGCTTCCCCCACGTCATGCCAGAACCCTGGTCCTAAGTGCCACAGGTTTCCAGGCAGACAAGCTCCCTCCTGCCAGACAATCAATACTGAGGGATGAAGAGTGAACGTCCCTGTAGGGCGTCTCTCCCCACGCCTCTCTCCTAGGCACTGTGTCTGCATTCTCTCACGCTTCCTAGGCTCAGCTGGACAGCCAGCTATTGTGAACATCATGAGGGCAAGCCATAGGGTGAAACCCTGAGTCCAGAGGAAGGATCACAGTTTCCCCCATTCCTGATAAGGCCTTTAAAAAGGTACAAACTATCATGTGCACACTGGAGATTTTAACATGCAGATCCAGATTCCTAAGTGTGAGATAAGGCCTGGAGTTCAGCATTTCTAATCAGCGCTCAACAATGCCAACAGTGCTGGTCCATAACCCACGCTTTGAGTAGCAAGGACCTAGATTGGCAGTGGTACATCAGAATTATCTAGAAAGCTTTGAAACACAGGTTGGTGGGCACAAACTCAAGGGATTCTGATGTGATAGGTCCAAGGGATGGGCCTTTAAACTTGCATTTAAAAAATATATTTTTATTGATGTTTAGAGAGAGAGGAAGGTAGAGGAAGAGAGAGAAACATCAAAGTGAGAGTGCAACATCAATTGGCTGCCTTCTACATGCCCCCTAGTGAGGGTGGAGCCTGAAATCTGAGCATGACCGGAATCGAACCAGCAACCTTTCAGTGCATGGGATGATGACCAACCGAGCCCACCAGCCATGGCTAAACTTGTATTGCTAACAAGTCCTCAGGTGCTGCTGCTCTGGGAGCCACATTTGGGAGTCTCCTGACGCATTCATTTCATAGATATCATCTGTTGTGATTTAACCACTGCATGAAAAGCAGTGGTCTCAGCCCTGGCTGCACAGTGGAATCATCTGAGAAGCTTTTGCTGATGGATGCCCAAGGCCCATTCAGAGGTTGTTAAATCAGAGTAGCTCGGGTGTGGGGCCTGGGCATTGTCATAAAACAGTCAGCAATAGACTAGAGTGTGAATGCCCCTTCCTGGGGCTGTATGAGGAGGCACAGTCTGCACACCTCTAAACAGACCTGTTCACAACACAAACGAAAATTTAAGGAAATGTCATGCTGACCCAAGCGAGTAGAATTTACTAGGTGTCTCTCCTCTGGTTAGAAGTGAAGTTCCTTTGAATGCTGGTATGTACTCCTTCAAGTCATTAAAAGAAACACAGTACCCTAACGTCAAGTTTGATTGTTAAGATCCGCCTAACAATCCCATGCTTGTAAATATTCTTCATGATCAACAGGGATATAGACCAATAGTGCTTTAAAAAGTTGGTGGCCTGAGCCTGTGTCTACCCCCTCTAAGAAGGTAAGAAACCTGAGCCAACAAGGGTGAAGAGGTGAGGGGGAAGAGGGCAATGAGTGGGTTTGGGTGTATAGGCCTGGATTCTAGCACTCCAATGGTATGTGCTCACATGACTGGTTTCTTTTTCTAGGCTCCTTGGACTAGTGACTATGATGGTTCCCTCCAGTCCTAACAACAAAGGCCAGTCTGGAGATATAACAGTAAGGTTGCATGCATTTCTAGGGTAGTGAATAAATCCTGAGCAGGAAAAGAAGTCAAATCTGGGTAACTCGACCATGTTTTTTTTTGAGGAGTTATAAAATTATACAACCTTGCCATAAATTTTTATCAGCACTTCTTACACTCATCACAGACCAGCCATAAAACACAGGACTCTGAGAGGCCTGGACTGGAGACAAGGAGCCAGCCCTGGGGGTGGAGAGTGTGAGTGTGTGGAGGTTATAGGGGGTGGAATAGCAGATGTCTACACATTTGAATAGATTTACAGGGATGGCTGACTGCTTTTGGAGCCCACCTCATTTGTTTTTCCAGGCCACCATTTTTTTTTTTATTTTTTTTTTGGAATCTGCGCTAATTTCTACCACTGGTTTTCCCCCATTCTCTCCACAGCACCAGGAGAGCCTGGTCCAACCTAGTACCATCTTTACTACAGCCTGACTGGCCAGCCCCACACAGGTTATTTTAGCTCTCATGCTCAGTTTTCTTCTTCTTTAAAATGGGGGCAAACATCCGTTCCTTATACCTGTAGGACTGAAATGAATGAACAGTGTGGAAGTGCACTTTGGAGTCAAGCTGGTGTTCTTGTTTTCATCACCTCCCCGCCAGGAGAACAAGGCTGGGACAGGTTGCCTACCTGAGGCCTGGACCTCCATGATGTACTGGTGCAGATCCTGGCCCTGCTGGATGACCTCGAAGGTCATGTTGTTCATGGCCAGCTTCCGTTCTGTGTGGCGCTGCAGCCGCTGCTCTGCCAGCGTCAGGTCCTCCGTGTTGAAGTCGTTCATCTGCCGGAGCAAGTCCTCATTCCAGGCGTCTAGCTCTGCTGTCACCTGTGAGGGAAGAACCATCAGTCCAGGTTCGCTGGTCCAAAGGCTGCTAAGCTCATGGATCCCAAGCCTTATGAACTAACCTGACTCTCAGATCAGTCTCAGCTTTGCATCTCTGACTCTTCGACTCCATTTAAGCATCATGGCCACATACTCATGCATGCATGCCTTTGAAAGTGTGTTGCGATGTCTACAGCAACAGCAGTGGAATGGCAGGAGACGTTTATATGATGAATTATGGTTTATAAAGTGTTTAGTACTCCATCCAGTTCAAGAGCAATGCCCTGGAGGGAGGGAG